TTTTTTTTTTTTTTTTTAATCTATACCCTTGTATTTGGTACAGGGATGGAAAGGAGTTTGGGTAATTAATGAAACCACTTGATTTTCTAAATACCCTGAAGACTGAAAAAGAAGATAATTGTATTTTTACTGAAATAGATAGTAAATTTTAGTACTTTAAATAAAAATCTTAGATTTGTGCAGAGTAATTAGCTTTAAGTATAATTACAAACAATTTTCCATGGTTTAATTTTTGATGCTCATTTGAAAATACAGGAAGACTTTTTTTTTTTAAGTACATATAAGGAGAGAATTTTAGAAACCAACTGGATCTTTTTGATCCCTTTTAGTAGAAGTTTGATACCTTTACAATGCAAAAGTGGTCTAATAAATGCACCTTGATTGGATTGAGTTTAGCCTTGAGACTACCTAATCTGATCTCATCTGGATGGATCTACCTCATTGTGGAAGGACAATGAACAGCCTTAGTTGAATTCTAAAATGCAGAAAATAAAGCTTATTTAGTTTGCTTTCCTTGTTATCAAAGAGCAAATTCAGTACTTTTTAAATTATGAAGATCTTGTGTTATGTCAAATCTTGATTTATGGAGAATCTAATCCTAAAATTTTAGTTGAACTATAATTTTTATTTTCCAGAACACTTCATTCACCCAACCAAGCAAACCTTCATCCAACAGAGGTCATCTTTCGCACTATATATAACAGTTTGTAGAGAATGAACAGTTAATCTGTATCTTGAAGTATTACAAATTCTGCTGGTAATTTTAAACTTTAAATGGGTCAGCAGATCAGAAATCGTCTCATATAGATAAAGAATTCATAGTTTATCTTGTACTTTAATTTTATCCAAAGCTTAAATCATTGCACACATAATAGAAATAATGAGTTGGTGTAAAGGCAAGTCCATGTGGTGGTCTAATTGATAATACTGCCCCCAACTGGCTTGTTTTTAATCCTGTAGTCACATTTGTGCTCTAATCTCTGATTTTAAAATTTTACTAGTATATTACTTTCATGGTTGTCTACACACTGAAAGGAGCTCTGGTGGCATAGTCCCTAAGGCATTTGACTGTTATCCAGAAGTTTGGCAATTCAAACTCACCAGCCACTGCACAGAAGTAAAATGAGGGAATCTGACTGGAGGGCAGTGAGTTTAGTTTTGGTTTTTGGTTCTACACAATGAAACCTCAACTGAGTATTTTCACCCTACAAGATAAATTTGCCTTATCAAAAATACAACTTTGCAGTATTAGTGACACTGAGTTTGCATGGTAGCCTATTGTTAACAGCCTATTGTGAGGCATTTAATCAGTTTGTAGTAGCAAAAAGCTGATGGGAAGATACAAGGCTGTATTTTCAGTGCTCTTCTCAGTAAGTACAGGACCACAGAAAAGCTGTGGGGTTATTGTAAAGACGTTTAAACAAGTCCTATCCTCAATAATTGAAAAATTACTTGACAGCACTGCCATAGTTGATTCCAGTTCATAGTGACCCTTTAGGATAGTATAATTGTCCCATAGAGTTTCTAAGGTGGTAAATCTTTGCACAAGCAGATTGCCACATCTTCGTCCTGCAGAGTGGTGGATTTGAACCACTGTCCTGGCTAGCACTGGAGTGCTTTCCACTGCCCACCAGAGCTAGCTGGAAATAGTATTGAGGGTGTTATATACAGGAGCCCTGGTGCACAGTGGTTAAGCACTCAACTGCTAACCAAAAGGTTTGAACCCACCAGAGGAAAAGAGGGCAGTCAGCTTCCATAAGGCTTACAGCCTTGGAAACCAGGTGGGGTAGTACCACTTTGACCTGTTCGGTAGCTGTAAGTCAGAATCGACTCGGTGGCAGTGGGTTTGAATTTTTGCTTTCATGGTATATGGGCATCTGGAGAAGATTGTTTGCTAAGTGTTGGTTCATGCCTCAAAGTTAGAGTAGTGATTGTTAGTCTTTTGTATAAAAACTATTAGTTGATAAGCTATTTTAAAATAAAATTACCATCTTTTTTCAGGTATAGACTAGGTAGGCAAGGCTGACTAGTAAGTATAAGCAAGACACGTGATTGTGGAGTAGTTGCTAAAGAATTCTTGACAGAGGCACCTGAGTGGATGTTGGCTCTTTAGTGTATAGAAGCAAGGTGTCAGGAAGGCAGCTTTCTTTATAACTACACATCTCCCATTGTTTACTGTCTTAAACAAATTTGACAAAGCAGGTACGATTAGTTTACTTGCCAAAGAACAATCTCCTCTATCTTCTGTAACAAAAGTCAATCATTTTCAAAAATGAATTAGGCCAGATTGGTAATACTCGAGGAGAATTCTGGTTGTTAGCACAAAATATGAAAAGCCGTCTGTGCTTCTGATACCTAGATAATTAAGGCAAAAATGTTAAAATTACCTGAATGATTGTCTAATGCAGTTCATCAAATATTATCAGTATATGCACGTGCCACAGGGAAAGCAAAATGATTGTATGCCTACATCATTGCCCAGAAGAAGATAACAGAAAGATACAACCTGAAGTGCTCAAGGATCAAAATGGGCAGGTAGTTCACCTTTGAAGACTTGTAAAGGGTGGCAGAAAAGATTCCTTTACCCATTGGATGAAAGCTGAGTGAGGAAAAGTATGGAGCACTTGGAATAAACATAGTTTTGAGAGTTCATGGTGATGGTTGCCTCTAGAAGTGAGTCTGAAAAGTGGAATTGTGACCTTGGAGATGAGCAATAGTTTGTAGTTGATATGAGTGATGTTCTGGGTGGCAGCTTTTAATAACTCCTCATTATCTGCTAATAATAGTCTGGTGATTCCAAATTCAAAAGAAATGTTACTGGTGTCCACGTGGAATGCAGTGTGTTTTCTTAAGTGAGAGTTACATTGCATAATGGTTTTTTGGCCGCAGTTTCATTTTGTTATTATTTATTATCATTTAAAAGTACTGTTTTGTTCAGCTGTAATGGAGTGTTTGCAAAAGACTTTCTGGCTACTAAGTTTGTGATTCGAATCCTTCTAAGCTGTACCATTGACATTCTACACTGCAACGTCATCTTTTAATTACATCACTTGTGAACAAACCTAAGGTAAGGGTCTTGTTTTGATTTTAAAGGGACTAGTTCGTTCTTCTTGTTGTTGTTATGTGCCATCAAGTTGGACCCGACTCATAGCGACCCTTCCTTGGGTTTCCCAGGCGGTATCACTACGGAAGTAGATTGCCCAACCGTCCTTCCGAGGAGTGGCTGGTGGGTTTGAACCACCAGCCTTCTGGTTAGCAGTTAAGTGCCTTAGGCACTACACTACCAGAGCTCCTTATTTAGTCTGAAACATTTTCTGAAAAATGTTTGCTTTTAGTCAACTATCTAATTCAGTTAGTTCCATTATAATATACTGTTTTAATCATAGTAGTTAAGGTTTCTCAGAAGGCCAAGAAGTATCAGATGGCACAGAAAAATTAAGGACTAAAAAGTGTCCACTGACATTGGCAATTGAGATCATTCATGTCATGCTGCTCTGGCTGAGTGATAAAGTACATAATGCTTGCCTCATATTACTTTGGACTTAACTACTAAAAAGGTATCAAAGGCCTGAGGTTGCCATTTCAGTATTCTGTATGCAGTATATGTGAAAGCACTTATTAAACAGCATTGTAAAGCATTATAAAGGTACAGGTCATGGGCTAGTTGTAGTAGTGGTGAGACCAGTGCTGTCACGTCAGTTCTGTAATGGTGGTAACATTGACCCAATGGCAGCCACTAAAAACATGCATAAGCAAGTGGGAATATATTTTCCCATTTTGTTTTTAAACACAAATTTGTATACTATTAAATAAAACTTTAGGTGAATTGGCGATGAATATAAGGATCATATCTTTTTTAAATAGGAGCTCTAGTAGCGTAGTG